CGACCGGTACCGACGAAGCGAGCAAGAACGCTGATGGGGTAGGCAAGGTCGGGGCGGGTGCACATCATAGCGTACATCAGCGAACCGACGAGCTCAGCGTAAGGATGGTCAGAGGAGGAGGGAGCAGGAGGAGGGGCAAGCTGGTGGTCAGTCTGCAGGGGAGTGGTAACCGGCTTGGCCTGCGCCATGTCGAACCGCTGCAAGACTTGGTCGATGTAGAAGGACTGAGAGAGGGTAATGGTGCGTGATGCGCGGTCCCGGGTGATGGTCATGCCCAGATAGTGCTTGAGCTCACCCAGGTCCTTGCACTTGAGGCGAGCATGCAGGGCGTCCTTTACTTGCTGCATGGCGGCAGCATCGTCAGCGAACAGGATCATGTCGTCGACATACACCAGGATGAAGAAGCGGGTGGGAGAGGAGCGAAGGAAAAGGCTGGCATCAGACTGAGAGGCATGGAACCCCAGGGACTGCAGAGTGGCGGCCAGCTTGTTGTGCCACTCGCGAGGAGCCTGCTTGAGGCCATAAACCGGGCGGCGCAGCTCCCAGACTGTGTTGGGAGGGAAGGCTGCATGAAAGCCTGGAGGCCGCCGCAAGAGGACCCGCTCCTGGAGCTCGCCTTGCAGGAAGGCGTTGGAGACATCCATTGAGGCAATCTCCATGCCAATGCGAACAGCATAGTCGAGGATGGCACAGAGAGTTGGGAGCTTGGCAGTGGGAGAGAATGTCTCCCAGTAGTCGATGCCATGGGTCTGGGTGAAGCCCTTGGCACAATACCGGGCCTTGTAGACCGGCTCCTCACCCGGCAACTGCTTCACTCGGAACGACCACAGGCCTTCAATAATGACGTCGTCAGGAGAGGGGACAATGTCAATGAATGAGGCATTGCGGATGAAGGCCTCACATTCAGCAAAGATAGCCTGGATCCACTTGGCAGCATCGGGGCAGGTGATGGCCTCAAGGAAGTTGGACGAGGTGAATATGGTGGGAGCGGTAGCGATGCCAAGGATGAGGAGGCCAAGGAAGCCCGGGTAGAGAGGCGTGAGGGAAGGTGTTTGTTGCTGAACGCCAATGAGCTCCTCATGGGAGTCCTCGATGAAGGGAAGGGAGGGTGGGGGTGGCGTTGGCCAACCCCATGGATGGTCTATGAGTGGGCCATGAGAGCGAGTGTGGATGCGTGGGAGGATGAACGGAGAGGTGGTGCAGCGATGCCGATGAGGTTGCTGCTGTGGTTGCTGCTGCTCCGGCTGCTGCTGCTGTTGCTGTTGCTGCTGCACCTCCTGCTGTGGCAGTAGTTGCTGCACTGCCTGTGGTTGCTGCTGCTGCTGCTGCTCCATCTGCTGCTGCTGCTGCATCTCCTCCTGCTGCTGATGCTGCTGCTGCTGCTGCTGCTGCTGCTGCTGCTGCTGCCGCTGCTGCTGCTGCTGCCGCTGCTGCTCCATCCGCTGCTGCTGCTACTGCCGCTGCTGCTCCATCCGCTGCTGCTGCTGCTGCTGCTGCTGCTGCTGCTGCTGCTGCTGCTGCTGCTGCTGCTGCTGCTGCTGCTGCTGCTGCTGCTGCTGCTGCTGCTGCTGCACCTGCTGCTGCTGCTGCTGCACCTGCTGCTGGTGCTGGTGCGATGAGGCAGAGTGAGCAGGGGAGTCAGGGACAGCTGGGTCGTAAATGTCACCTGAGGAAGGAGGAGGGGGAGGAGCAGGATTTGGAGGAAGGAGGGGAGCCTTGGGAAGGAGTGGGGGAATGACAGCATCAGCCCAGGTGAGGGGGCGGGAGAGAGGAGGAAGTGGGTCGGAAGGCGGAACAGAATGATAGAACGGGATGCTCTCATCGAACACCACGTCACGGCTCTGTAGGAGGCGGCCTGAGGACGGGTGAAGGAAGAGGTAACCAGGGACAGAGCGAGCGTGGCCAAGGTAGACACACTCAATGGCCTTGGAGGCAAGCTTTCCTGCCTGCCTAGAGCGGTCAGGTGGGGGGATGAGGACATATGCCTTGCAACCCCAGATACGGAGAATGGCAGCATCTGGCTTGGTGCTAGCCCAGAGCTCTGTGGGAGTGACGGACTGGCGTTGAGGATGTGGGTAAAGATTAGTGAGGAGAGCAGCATGGACAAGGGCATAGCCCCAAAGAGAAGGGGGCGTGGAGGCATGAGTGAGGAGGCAGCGGGCCGTCTTGGTGATCTCATGAATGCGACTCTCAGCAACACCGTTCTGCTGAGGGGAGTGGGGAAGGGTATGAGTCTGCTGGATGCCATGGGTTGAGCAGTAGGAGGAGAGGGTGCGGTTGAGAAACTCACCACCGCCGTCGGAATGGAGGCGGCGGATGGGGCGACCAAAGTGGACACGGCACTGCTTGGCCCAGGTAACGATGACAGCAGGGGCCTCGGCCTTTGTGTGGAGAAGGAACACCGAGGAGTACCTGCTGTGGTCGTCGACTAGGACAAGCATGTACCAGTGCCCTTGGCGGGAAGGGGAAGGGTTAGGGCCCCAGAGGTCCATGTGGACGAGGTCAAGGGGGGCAGCAGCAAAGGAAGGATGAATGAGGTGAGGCTGTTGTTTGAGCTTTCCATGAATGCATGTGGCGCATGGGGGAGCGGAAGAGGACGGGAGGGGAGGAAGAGTGGGGGGAAGACCGTCAAGCAAGCGGGAGGAGACGTCTTTACGAAGTTTGGAAAAGTTCATATGACCAAGGCGATGGTGGATGAGAACAGCGGGGTGGGACAGTGCGCGACAAGAGCATGGGGGGGAGGTGGAGTTGGAGGAAGGTGGCTCTAGAGGGAGGGGAGGGGGGAGAGTGGAGGTGCCTGCACGAGTGGTCACGTGGCATGAGGAGGGGCGCGGTGTGCTGAAGATGTACTGACGAGAGCGAGGGCAAAGTGGGAGGCGATGAAGGAGGCGACGAGTGGGGCCGTGGAGGAGGTCACAGTAGGTGGCAGAGGCGGGGAAGAGGGTAGTGATGCCAGCCTGTTGGAGTTCACGGATGGAGAGCAGGTTCTGACGAAGGGAGGGAATGTGGAGACCAGTGACCACTCCGGTGGGGAAGGGGGGGCAGGGGAGGGTGGAGAGATGAGTGCAAGGGATGGAGAAGCTGGAATCAGCGCCATGAACGTTGGTGGGGAAAGGGAGGGAGGTGAGGGTGCCGGCGTCTTTGAGGGCAGTTTCAGTGGCACCAGTATCGAGAACAAAGTCTATCGTGGGCGAGGAGGGAGCTGAAGACATGGGGTACTAGAAATCACTGGCATTAAAAACAGAGGGATACATGGAAGTGGAAGCAGGGGAAGAACGCATGAGCTCGCCTAGAAAGCTGGAGTGGGAGGTGGGAGCACTAGGGGAAGGAGAGCCCCAAAGGGGAAAGCCAGGAGGACTTGTTGTGGCAGTGGCAGCCATGGTGGCGGTGCCAAAGCCAAGCTGCTGCTGCTGCCATGCAGATGCTGCGGCTGCGGCTCCTGCAGCTGCGGCTGCAGCCTGACCACCAGAGCCCCACTGCTGCGCCAGGTGCAGCTGCAGCTGCTGGAAGCGGCGAAACTGCTTCAGCTCCTGGGGAGTTATGGGGTCAGCGATAGAGGAGGAGGAGGAGGCGAGCTGAAGATGAGAGGGGAGGAAAGACAGAAGAGTTTTGACATCCTGGAGAGAGGGGCGGGGATCCATGGCAGACCAGCGTGGGGGTGTGCCAGTGTTGCCGCGCTCGAACCAGGCGTCATCATACGCTTTGAAGCAGGTCGTTGGGGGATGGTTGGTTTGGGTGCAGCGCTCACCCGCCCTGGGACCAAAACGGCGAAGATAGGAACATGGGGGGAGAGTGCCGGGGCGGCCACCACGGCTACCAGATGAGCCACCACTGCCACCACCACCACCACTGCTGCCACCCTCGACCCCGCAACCACCACCGCCGGCTCCGTTGCCCCCACAACCGCCACCTCCACCCCCTCCCTGAGGGTTGGTGCGGCCGCCACGTGGGCGCCCTCCACGACGCGGTTGTGCAACTGCAAGCTGGGGGTTTGGGGACTCGGTGGAGTTCAAGCCGGAGGGGGGGGTTGAGAGAAGGCGGGCCTCAGCGTCAATGATCCACTGGACCACAGTGTCAAGGGAGGCACGGGGCTGAGCCTCAGTGAAGGCGATGACACGCACTTCATACTGAGGGGAGAGGCCTTCGAGGAGACGGTAGATCTGGAGGTTGGAGGGGAGAGTAGTCTGGCGAGCCTCTAGGCGGGAGGCAAGGTCCAGGAGACGGCTGGTGTAGTCAACGGCGCCAGCACTATTTTCGATCGTGATGCTGAAGTATTCCTTGAAGAGCGGTCCGACAGCGTCAAAGTCGGTGCGTTCGAACATCGCCTCAAGCTCGAGCCAGATCTGGCAGGAGCCGATGCGACGTGCCTGGAAGTTGCGCATGAGCGCAGGCGGGATGGCAAGGAGAAGGGCACCAGTAGCACGGCTGTCCGCCTCGAGCCAAGCGCGACGACGCTCGGCAAATCGCGCAGAGTCAGCGGCATAAGCGGCGGCGGTAGCGGCATGCTGGTTGCGGAGGGTGGCCGACCGCTCGTGTTCCTCCAAAGCGATCAGGTAATCAATATGGAGCACAAGGAACTCACAACGCTGAGTAACGAAGAGCTGCTCAACTTCAGCGGTGGCAGCGCGAGTGCTGGTGCCAACGGGTACCACGGGGGGCAGAGGTTCCTTGCCGGGATGGGGAATGAGAGGGGGGGGATCACCAGGGTGAGGCGGCGGTTCCCCAAGGTCACCCTCTGGGAGACCAAGCATGATGTCCAGGAGGCGGAACGGCAGGACATATGCACTGCCGAGGACGCAGTGGAGGCTGCCGACGAAGGAATACCAGTTGGTTGCTGAGTTGTCGGCAGCGCGCACGAGATGATCGAGGGTCGAGACGTCAACGGGAGGGGGAAAGGATGCCATTGGTGACACGGAGTGGGAGGAAGGCGACGGCGGGTGGACCCGCGGTGGCTGGGAGGGAGCGGCGGCGGGTGGACCCGCGGCGGCTCAAAGAGGAGGGGAGGATGGGGATGACTGTAGCTACTGCTGCTGCTGCTGCTGCTGCTGCTGCTGCTGCTGCTGCTGCTGCTGCTGCTGCTGCTGCTGCTGCTGCTGCTGCTGCTGCTGCTGCTGCTGCTGCTGCTGCTGCTGCTGCTGCTGCTGCTGCTGCTGCTGCCGCTGCTGCTGCTGCTGCTGCTGCTGCTGCTGCTGCTGCTGCTGCTGCTCTGCTGCTGCTGCTGCTGCTGCTGCTGCTGTTGCTGCTGCTGCTGCTGCTGCTGCTGCTGCTGCTGCTGCTGCTGCTGCTGCTGCTGCTGCTGCTGCTGCTGCTGCTGCTGCTGCTGCTGCTGCTGCTGCTGCTGCTGCTGCTGCTGCTGCTGCTGCTGCTGCTGCTGCTGCTGCTGCTGCTGATGCTGCTGCTGCTGCGTCTGCTGCTCCTTCTGGTGCTGCTGCTACTAGCTGATGGCAGTTTGCTGATGGGGAAAGATGGCAGTTAGCTGATGAAAGTAGGACTTGGTGGAAATTTCAGTAGCACTTCGTGATCACATCCAGGAAAGTGCGCGAACTTCGGAAAGCGATATCTGACACTCCAAGCGATGAATCAGTCTGCAATTTTACGACGTAGTAGCTGACACCAAGAGCGTTCTTTTGCAAGTCGAATCACTCAATTCTGTCAACTAGCGAGAGAGCTATGGCGTTTGGCGCACTGGGGATGTTTGAAAATCCACCCAATAGAAAACTAGTTGTGAAGGGAAAGAGAGGCGGCGGCTAGGAGTCTAACAGCGGCGATGGAGGAGACGGCAAAGAGATGCACGTCGGAAGGGGATGGGGCGGAAGCGTGGGGAAGGATCAGGATTGAAAGTTGGCGTGAGCTATTATTGCTCTATACCATGTTAGAAACAGAAATGTTGAGTTTATTGATCAAGCAAAGGCATAACATAGGAAGAGAGAGATGAGCTAGGAAGGGAAGGTTGGAAGGGAAGGGGGGGTTAGGACCAATCACAAAGGAGGGAGGATCCTTCCAAATGTGGTTGACAACAAGTGGGAGGTGGTCCAAGTATGGTGGACCACAAATGGCTTAGGCAACGCACTTGTGGTGCCCCCATAATTGTGGTCCTTGTGTTTGGGGGCTCCAACCACAATTGGGTTGGATTGACACCCCAACACAGGTGTACACCCAACTAGGGATGTAAACACAATATACACAACTAGCATAGCATGGTATATTCTAACAGAAGTAACACCGTGCTTGACAAGGTAATCACGAAGAGGACGACGTGCGTTACCCATGTCGAATCCAGAGACACAGCCTCATAAGTATATCAACTTTTCCAACAAAGAAGAAGCTCCACGGTGTTATGCTGACAATGACGGTGACCAAACACGTAGTTGACATTCGGTGGTCTTGATAGGGTGTAAGATGCTGGTATGGATGGTGTTATGGATCTTCCAAGTGGCTGGTAGGCGGAAGCAGGAGGTGACTGAAGTGACCTCTGCTTCAACGAGAATAGACCTGCAGATGCAATGTCGAATCTTGGATGGAAGATGGCTAATGTCGAGATTACGGTGTGGATAACTGTAGTGATGAGTAACCAAGTGCTTCTACAGCTGGATGTCCAAGCGGCATGTCCGAACTGAGAGTTGGTGGACAATGGTGATGAAATGGAATTGTCGGTTGCTGTGGTGTGAGCGGGTGCGTCTGTAGCAAAGGAAGAATGGTAATCGTCATGTTGGAATCGAGGTGGCATTGATGTAGACGCACTATCAGCAGCGTTGTGCAGAAGTTGTGCAACAATCCGATTGTCGTCTCGTGGTAGTCCATACGATTGTCGTGTGTAGCACGGTCTAGTTGTGAGGCAGAGATCTATGCAGATGCTATGGCTGCTGAGGAGCTCCGCTGGGTGACATTCCTACTCACTGAATTAGGTGAGCGGCCTAGGTCTGCCCCAGTCCTGTTTGCTGATAACATAGCCATGATCCTCCTGTGTCAAGAGGTTTTGACTTGAGGGCAAGCGTAAGCACCTCCATCTACGGTACTTCCTGCTGCGTGAATTGCAAAAGCGCGGCCGGGAACGCGTAGTACAGTTGTCCTTAGAGGCCAACAATGCTGATATCTTCACCAAGGCCCTAGGGCCTCGTAACCATCAGTGGTTCTGTACTCAGCTTGGTCTAGTCCAAGTTGCCACGCCCTTGCTTGTACTTGCTACACTGCCAGACACTAACCAAAGCATTGGTCGGCTGCCACTTGCAGTAAGGGACACTAAGAGGGTACGCTAGATCTGGTCGAGTGCAGGTCATCAGGTACATAAGGCACCCCACTAGCTCTTCATATGTACCACTGGGCTCGGCCGGCTCAACCGGAATAGGAGCAGAGAGCTTGTGATCCACAGGCGGAAGGGGTGGACTGTGCTAAAGGCAACTGAAGGCCGAACCGCAGAAGGATCTGCTCCACCATATGGGACTGGGAGAGTGTGATCGTGCACGCGGCATGGTCATAAGAGATCTCCAAGCCCAGACAGTGCCTGAGCAGCTCGGCCTTTACTGAGGCCAATTCGACTCTGTCAGGAGTAGCAAAGATGAGTTCGTCTCCATACACAAGTATGTAGAACAGAGTCTTACCAGCATGAACAAAGAGCGAGGGATCAGCTGAGAATGGGAAGAACTGAAGAGCTGCTAGCGTCGTGCGGAGTGTATTGTGCCACTTGCGTGGTGCCTGCCGCAGACCATAGACTAGGCGCCTCAGGCTCCACTGGGTCCCAGGTGGGAAGGACCCAGAGAAGCCTAGTGGGCGTCTCAAGTAGATATGCTTGTGCATGCTGCCCTGCAGGAAGGCGGTGGAGAATTCCATTGAGTGGAGCTCGTAGTCACGCTGCACGGCTAGGTGGAGGAGCACCCGAAGACTAGTCATTGTTGGGGTAGGGGAGAAGTTATGGAAGAAGTTCACACCCTCTCGCTGACTGAAGCCTCTAGCCACATAACGTGCCTTGAACTTTGGAGGCTCACCAGGTGTGCGCTTCTCCCTATAGATCCACATGACTTCGACTAAGTTCACCCCAGGCGGGGGAACTGCGTCGACGTAAGTGCCTGTGGATCTGTAGGATGCTATCGCTACCTCCATGGCCTGTATCAACTGGGCTGCCCAAGCCCCCAGGCCCCCGGGCCTCCAGAGAAACCACGTGGGCTCTAGGGCAGTGACCACCCCGGGGCCCAACCTCATGGGCCTCCACCATGCCCAACATGCCGAAGACCCCATCGCGGCTGCTGCTACTGCACGGGGCAAGCCACCTGGTAGCGTACCTCGACGTCGTGGAGCCAGAAGCCAAGGAGCAAAATAATGTGGTCCTCTAGGAGCGTGCGGTCTGCGGGCTCACCAGCTGTAGGCGGTGAGCGAGAAGCCGCAGAGCAAAGGGAACTGTCTTGCGGTCCGGCCAAGGAACACCCCAACGAGGCTGTCATGCCGAGAGGAGAGGCATGGAGGAACGCTTGAAACGAGGAGGAGACTAGTGGGAGGCACTAGGGGCTGCAAGAGCACTAACGGAGGTAGCAACAATGGTGGCTATGGTCGGAGCGGCGGTCTGGCAGTGGCGGCTAGCGGCAGACTGGTGGCAGCAAGCACGAGGCTGGCAGCAGCAGTGGCTAGCGGCAAGCTGATGGTCTTGCAGCTGCGCGCGGTGAGTTGGCGCACTGGCGGCGAGCTGGCGAGCGAGTGAGAGAGTGAAGAGGCTGGCGAGCTGGCGAGTGGGCGAGATAGCGAACTGGCGAGTGAGATGTCTAGCTGGGGAGCTGGCAAGCGATGCTGGCGGTGAGCTAGCAGGGGCTGCTGGTGGGGAGCTGGCTGGCGCTGCTAGTGGCAAGCTAGCTGGTGCTGCTATTGGCGAGTTGGCAGGCTCTTCTGGCGGCAAGCTGGCAGGCGATGCTGGCAGCAAGTGGGAAGGCACTGCTGGCAGCGAGCTGGCAGGCACTACTGGCAGCGAGCTGGCAAGCGCCGGTAGCAAATAGGTGGCATCTGTTAGCGGCAAGCTGGCAGGCGCTACCGGCGGCAAGCTGGCAGGCACTGCTGGCAGCGAGCTAGCAGGCACAATTGGCGACTAGCGGGCAGGCGCTGCTGGCGGCTAGCTGGCGGCAAGCCTCTCTGCCAGGGGGGTTGTGGGCGCACTAACGCGCTACGTAAAACGCCCATTTAGCTCAGTGATTAGTGCCTGATTTCTGATAGAATATAGCTAGGCACTCCTAGCCGTCAAAATTCCGCCCTAAGCGCTCTATGCCGATAGGTAGCGTACCTTTTTTTTCCTAGCGATTCTCACGCTCTTCAATTTCGCGCTTTGTAGGCCTCTCCCCCCCTTCCCCCCCTAGCGTACTATTTGTTTCGTAGCAACTCAGCTTGGCAGCCAGCGCACTAGCTAGCTCGCCAGCTCGCTGACCAACAGCTGCCAATGCCGCCCGTTACCGCTGTCGTAGCCGCTGCCACTTGCTGCCGCCCACTGCCGCTGCCGCTGCAGCTGCCACTGCTGCTGCCGCTGCCACTACTGCTGCCACAGCCACCCGCTGCCGCCCACTGCCGCCCGCTACAATTGCCGCTGCCACTGCCGCTAATGCAGCCACCGCTGCCCGCTGCCGGCCACTGCCGCCCGGTGCAGCTGCCACTACCGCAGCCACTGCAGCAGCTGCTGCCGAATGCTATTGCCCGCTGCCACCCACTACCACTTCTGCTGCCGCTGCCGCCCGCTACTGCTCATTGCCACATACTCGCAGCTTCCTGTTAGAAATAGAATGCAAATCCCACTTTTGTATTTGTACTTTTATATCCTAGTTTAGGTTAGGAATGTTCTAGTGGGTTGGGGTGTACTCACAAAATCCCAACCTCACCCAATTGTGATCCCCCCAATCTCCAATTACCCAATTAGACATTCCGGAGATCCCAAAAGGGATTCCCTCCGATTTCCTCCTCAGCTCTACTTGGTCGAATCTGAATTTCGACCATCTCTTAAAACTCGTTTTCGGGTTTCCTCTCAGACTCCGCCAGCATAGGCGAACTCCCCTCGCGGAATCGCCTTCACGAACATCTCGCGTCAAGCAAGAGCAGGTACACAGGTGGAAGCGGAGCGGAGCTGGTTGCGGAGCTGTGTGGCTGGGGGAAAGGGCCTAGGGGTGTGTGGGTCCGAAGTTAGACTTAGGCTCAGATTTAGTTTCAAGTCGGTGTTTAAACAAATTACCGCCGACGCCATTACCTTAGCAATATTTCGACGAAGCCGTCTGAGTGATTTTCAGCAATTCTCGTCGACCGATTTCCAGAAGTGCCGCGCTGCGTACCGAAATTCTTATCGGTAACTTAAGAGCGTCGCCTCGCGAAAATCAAACGGGAATGGCTTACTCAACCACTTCACTCGCCAACCCGATCCCGCTCCTTTATCTCGAGCCGGACGGTACATGCTCCAACTAGAAGGCTTGGCGCTATGGTGTCGACAAGCACCTCCTCAGTCGCGAGGTGAAGGGGCTCGAGCTCACCGACGTTCTTCTCAACATTGGTGACGGCAAAGAGCCTCCTAAACCCGAGTGGTCCGCCGATCCAGCTAATGCTGCCGCCGAAGCAGGTTATGCTGCTGCACTGCTCAAGTACAAAAATTGGGAGAAGGCCGATGGTGCGGTTATTAGTGTCTTCATAGGCACCACTCCTTCCGTACTCGTCGAAACCTACCACAACTACCCGTCTGCCAAAGCCATTTGGCTCTACCTCGAAGACCGCTTCCTGAACAAGACTGCAGTAGAATATGTTATACTCATCCCCAGCATGTTCCAATTGTGGCTCGAGGACTCGCCAGGCATGGTGGACTATGTCCGGGACGATGTGAGAGAGATATTGGCAGACCGCGTGAAGGTCAAACAGCTCCTCATGCCT